ACCCTCGGTCCGTCGGCCCGTCGACCGTTGGTGACAGTCGGATCCTCCACGAATTATATCAATCGTAAAAGAGGAGTCTCAAAAAGCGTGAGTAAATCATGAAGTTGTGAAAACTAGGAAATAAAAGGGCACCTTCCTCTCATCCATTCACTTTGGAAGGGTCTTACACATTTCTATTTACACATTAAAAATTAAATTTTAATTATTAATAATCTACTGTAATGGTCTGCTGTATTATTTTTGTAATTGGTGTGAAGAAATTTGTGTACAGATAGCTCTTAATATAAATAAATGTTTACAAATATATATCTTCGAGAAGCGACACTGCACCTACGTAAAACCTCTGGATTCTTTGAAATTATATAGGGATATCTGGAAACTGGAATGGCAACCAATTTAACAGTCCTGATGGAGCACTAACCATCGTAATATAAACAGCACCGCGAACATCACGTCATCATGTAACGACTGTGATACTCATGGTAATCGTGGTATTAAATACTTATTATGTACCTACCCTAAGAACCCTAGTAATGTTATTGCCATATCTCACCCTCGAAACGAAAACACGACTTTCAAATCAAGCTGCGGTAATAATAGGTTAGATTTGATATAATTATCTACATCTATTATTATTGTCTGTCTGTCTACTATGTTGTCAAATAATCATGACTAAATGCCTTAATTGATCATAATGAAATTTGACGTTAATTGTTATAAGTTATTTGGCGTCAACAGTACCTAGGTACTGTTATTTCAGAGTCTCGTCTTGCTATTTAATACAGGTGACAAGACACTAATATTTGTGAAAGAGTAGATATATCTGAAATATTAGAAGAAAGAAAGAAAGGTAATAAGTACAGAAGAGAAGGCGCAGTCGGAGACTGTAAAGAATCGGTCGTATGCCGAATATGCAGTCCCATTCACCTTCCGGTTGCACATTCAAGGGGTAGTTATATGATATGATTAAACAAACTTCTTTCTAAAAAAGCAAGCGGCCAAATCCGCTTGCTTCTATACCAGGTTGTAGAAAATAATAGAAATTTTAATGGAAAACTATTTATTTCTTGTCCAGAACTCACTATTATGCCTAATCTACATCATACAATACACAATGCTCTCCCAAAAACGTCTAAAAACTAATTTTGTAGTTCATTATTACAAATAATAATTTACAATTTGTTTCGACTTTTATATTTTGAAGCGATTATTCTGTTGCGATATTTCTATATTATTTTGTTAATATGCTTTTATAGTTATCATATATTTCAACTGACTATGTAGATAATTATTATTAATTAGGTAGGTACGTCAATATAAGTTCTTATGATGTGATACATTATTGATAATTATTGAATTGGTAAATAAATATAATAAATTGCCTCCATGACAGAGTCAATGATAAAAATGCAACTTAATAAATAATAAATAAATAACTCTGGACAGTTCACACAATACGATTCAATTCAGGACATTCATCTAATACCAAACTAATAGTCCGCGAGCCAGTGGCTTGATTCCTCAATTATTTCCTCCCAGTCGCATTACCATCTTAGAAGTTTTGGACCGGGAGAGTTTTGGTCACATTGACCCGTTCCTCGCTCGCGGGTCATAAGAAACTTGTGTACTAGACAAGTGACAGACTTCACAGACAGTCATCACATTATCATGCCATGCCAATTGTATTACTAACGTGTTATCCTTCCGAAGAACAAATCATGCCTCTGTACCATGTAATTTTAATTATCTCGTAGTTCAACCAAAATAGCTTCCAAAGCAAGCTGCGTGGTGACTTATGTACCCACGCAGACGTCTCTTTACAAGGTCTACTCCGGTAATTTAAATTTGGAAAACAAATAACGGCTTAAATCACATGTTATTGTAGTGTCATGGAATATGATGGTAGGTAGGTACAGGTTGTGTGGCTCAATGCTTGTTCACATGACGCAAACTAAATAAGCAAGTAAATTTCTTAGTATCGCGTGTGAACATCGTATGTAACACGATATACGTTATTATAATGAAGTGATTAATAAACTGAACTATATTAATGCTAATATGCAGGTATTATTTCGACATGATTTAAATCACATTTCAGAACATAATGGTCTAGTGGTTTGCTACCCTGAATTACATCCAAGAGATACTGAGTTCAAATCTGGGTCAACACCCAAAAATATTGTGTAATTTTTTTTCTAAAGGATTCCTCAATTACAAAAATACCGGTCTAATACGAAAAAATAATCCGAGAGACGGCGGTAGGGTCGGCTCCTGCCATGTTGGATTCCAAATATACCCAGCGAAATGTAGGCACATCAAAAGCTGCATTCACCAGTCGACAATGACTGACTATCCCTTCTGGGGAAGTAGTTATGATCTCGTCAACATCATACCTTCACGGCTATAATCACAATTTCGGTTATTAGAGGCAAAGCCTTATTATAATTATAAATGTTTTTATATTGTTTATATCTATTCATTACTTTATGTTACATATAAAGTATATCCTATCTATTTGTCAGTGTCAATATGAACATAACATATAACAGTAATTATAGGCATGATTCTGTATATTTTTACTGATTTTTTTCAATCCAAGGTGGCAAGGCTTTGAACCTACTACAGTTTTTCATACTAAAATTATTGATGTGTCCATGAACTGAATGTTTCCGCTTTAACACCAAATTCCGTAAGTAAAATCTAATCTAAAAACTATATATATGAAACGATAGTATATATATACTTATGTACCTACCCAATTACATTGATAATTATTTAAAAAAGACAAATACAATAATGATATGTGTATAACGAAAGTGTATAACAATTTATTTCTTCATCAAAATGTTTATTTCCAAACAGAATTTCTCGAAAATATTAACACAAGTTTTTTATTTATAATCTTACAACAGATACAATAAAAGAGATTTTCCTGTACTAATTCATAGTAAATATCCACTAAAGCGTATACATGTACCTGTAACGTTTAAAAACACATGCAATATAAATTAAAATACTTACAAGTCACTTATTTTAAATTAATTACGCAGGACTATTTCTTAGGTGTATTTATGAAAATAATATATTTACTGCAGATTACGTTACAATATTATTTTGAGATTATTTATACATCATTCAAATGTACCTATATAATTTATATTTTTATACACGTTGAATATAAATACATATAGCCTAACTTAACTTCGTCTGGGAGAGGTCCAATTCAACCAACAAATATATTGCTTTCTGAGTTTTATATACAACGAAAGGAATAACAAAACTCACAAAGTTTGTAACGTAATGAAAAATACCTACATTCTTCAAGACTGATTTAGACTATAATAATATACTATAATCTAATATTCTAAATTAATTAAATCAGATCAAATTAGACAATATACTATAGTCTAAATTAATCTGATTTAAATTATATATCTTCGAAATGCTACCAATTTTTCAAATCGATGCAGTAGTTCCAAAGCTTACTTTTCCCATAAAAAAAATCTCTCTTTATAATATTGTAACATAATCTACATAATGTAGTACTATTAAGTTTTAAACAGGGAATTAAAATAAGTACTTATGACATATTGTATAAGGTCGATTATTGCACAATTTGTAATACAACACTAACTTAAAACGTTATCATTGCAACACTAGCTTTAAATTTTGACATTTAATTCAATACAGTTAAACAATAATAATATTCGATCTCTTTCTTTAATATTTTTTGTATTAACCTGGGAAAAACTGATCACAAATGGGAAGCCACACATCCTTACTAATATTATAAACTTTAACATAGGTTTTTTGTTGGTTTGTATCAATTTTTATTCCTATTTCTCAAACAAGAAGGAGTTCTCTGGCTCAAATATACTCATACATTGAGAACATGGATTTAACGAATAAGATTGCCTACTTCTTACATCGACCTTCATGAAATTTAGCTTGTTTTAGGTATTACAGTGTTTTTCAAACTTTAGTGGGTCATATGAAACTGAAAGAAATTGTCTTTCGGTTATTAAACCGAGCTTTGACTTTAGTTGGTCATATTATATGACCAACTAAAGTCAAAGCTACTGCTGCAAAACAATTTAGTTGGATAAATGAGTGAATTTAATTGGATAAACAATATGGTAACAATAGAATATAATGAGAATTTTGGTTAATATTTTTATTACAGAAAATAAAATAAAATTTAAATATATTAATATTAAAATAGTTTCTCAACATACATAACCTATAACTCTGTAATACACTTTTCAACAGAAAATATTTTCTTAAGTTGCTGCAGTAGTTCCGAAGTTTTTTCCTCATAATAAAAAACACTCCTACTATTTTATAATATTAGCACAGACGCCCATACGTTAAAAAAAGGTATAGGATTTCTAAATTATACAATTTAGAAATCCTATATAAATCAATCTATATAAGTGAAACAAAGTAAAAAATATTAACGAAGATCAAATGCAATATAACTGTTCTATTACACTATAATGATAACCAAAAGCGTACAAAACATACACACGACTTTACCTTCTATTCTGTATGTACAAAGAGCCTATTACACCATCTTAAACAATTGTACCAAACTGAGTTCTACGATAAGCATACAATATCTATTTTCAGGGTTGATCTATAATTATTTTAGATAATGTAGAAACAAATAAACACAATAACACTGAATGAATTATATAAAAAAAATGTACTTGTCTATTTAGTAGTTCTAGCCGAACAGTACAGTAGGGATAGTGGCTAAATATAAATAAATATATTCTATATTTCTCAAATGAAATTATTTTGGATGAACTAGAACATTTTATATATGATATTTGAAGTATTAAAAAAATGAAAAGAACTTCTTAAAGCACCTATGCATGATAAGGTTTGGCAATCTAGTTGGACGACATGTTGAGTTGATTTTGCTCAGTACACAAAATCAATTACGCGCTAATTTGTAAGAAATATGATACCAAATCTTGCATATACGCATTTAAACGACTAACAAACCTATCCTTCGATATGACTTCTTATTAACTTTTGAGATAAAGAAAAATGTGCTTTATTATATTAAGACAAGGTATAATATTGTTGTCGTTAAATAGCAAGCCATAACATACATTATGAATGTCACTATAATGCCAATATTTAGCTCTTGAGATAGGACGTTGGACTTGTAATGGTATAAAAAAATCGATATTGCCAACCTAAAATCTCTCTCTAATTGTAATTCTAAAATCACGTCACAAGTAACAAAAAGTAAACACTTTAGCACTTTGTCACAGTTAAATTATTTACAGCTCCAAATATTTTAAAACATTACCAATAAGTTGTTATTATGACAAGGTACAAAAATTCTTACATAATTTCATGAACCTACGAGTAATGTTAATAGCTCTGTCTATTGTTTACACATGATATCAAGTTATGTTCTATAGATAATTTAAATAAACCATTTATCATTTAAATTTCTCAGTCAAATCTAAATTAATGTTTATTAACTATTATTATTGCATCTAGACAATGTTTTAGTAATTGCAAAATGGGCTCAAACACTCCTACTTAATCTAAAATAATTTACATTTCAACATCTCTACTGAGACTGTCAAATTTGAGTTCCTTGACTTCTTCAGGACTGAAGCTTTTCACTGATACCTTTCCTACTTCACCTGATAGATCCGTACTTGATAATTTATTAGTTATTTTAGTTATTGAAATCCTACTCTCTATATCGTTAGCATCGCATATTGTTTCTAAAACTACACCTTTTTCGACTTTCCTGGGTTTTGGCGATACATTTTGAGCTACTATTTGTTTTGTATTTCTCAATTTCTCACTTAAAATTTTATTGCAATTCTTCTTAGACATATCTATAGCTAGCGGATCTTCTTTGTTTACTGGCTCTTCAACTTTCTTCTCTTCTGTAACTGGTTTGGTTTGCTGTTTGAATTCAGCTACTTCTGCATTGCTAATGTTATCTTTCTTCTTCCATTTCGTTCTTCTATTCTGGAACCATATTTTTACCTGTAAATGAGAAATTACACTATAAGTGACTTAGTTAAATTAACGTTTAATCTATGGAACATTAATCTAACTCTTTGCGTTTTTACAAGTTCTTTAATCAATATAATTTTTTGACAGAGCGACTGTTTCAAATCACACAGCGCGATTCCGAAACTAAGTAGAGTGAATAGTATGGATACTGGGCTACTGATAGAAATACTTCAATATTTTTTAAATAAAACATCCATACTAATAATAAAACGCAAACAGAACCTGTGTTATACATTTTTTGAAAATACATATGTAAATGAACATAGAAATTAACCAATACAAACTATCATATAATACAAATGTGTGTAAACTGTGAGGAATCAAACCTATTACCATTGGAAGTAAGGCGGTATGCTAAATCGCTACACTACCGAGGCCGTAAATATATATATATAACTACAATTGTTTGAATCAAACTGACAACCATCGGCAGTGTGATAAACCGTTAAAATAAAGTCGAATTTCAAAGTCCAATATATGAATGGATATATAGGAATCCCATGTTAAATGGAGTTCAGATTTAATTATATTAGGGCAAGTAAGGATATCGCGTTACGAGATAGGCTGTTTGTACACGAGTGGGTATAGAGCGAGTCGAACGGTTAACAAACAGTTAATTACTGGCTGATCGATGCCGGCTCGGGGGAGATGAGTAGGGATGGGCGCTCTTTGATAGTTTGTCGATGTATTTGTCAATTTAATGATAACGTTTCCAAAATAAAAGGATTCTTTTTTTAACTATAACAGTTTGATCTAATTTTGAATTTCGAGTCATTGGTAAATGTACTATAACCAATCGGGGGAGATGACTAGGAATGGGCGCCCTTTGATAGTTTATCGATGTATTAGTCAATTTATTGATGATGTTTCCAAAATACACAATTTTTTTTAAACTACAACAGTTTGATCAACAGTTAAAATAATAATAATCTCAGGACAATTCACTCAGCGCCATCTAGATCCAAGTTAAGCTAGCTAAAGCTTGTATTATGGGTACTAGTTAACTGATACAAATACATAGATTTTTTTATTCGTACACACATACATAATATATATTGGAAATACCCAGACCAATACAAACAATCATACTCATGAATACAAATGTTTGTACCTACCTATTGTGCAAGGTATCGAACCCGCGACCATAGGACGTAAGTATGCTAAATGGACCACGGAGGACGTATAATTATCCAGTAAAATTCACATTTAAAATTACAAAACACGATCGATAAATATCGAACAGCTAGCAAGACTATGGACTAGTTTTTGTTTATTTGCGCCTATGATGAGGCGGATATATCTAACGATGCGATCATTAATGTAACTGCCTCGACTAGTGAACGCATTAGAGTTACTATTCGAGATCGTATAATGTAGCTAGCTTCTCTACTGTAAAATGTGTCAATACAGCTTCGCTATTTTTTTATTTTTAATAACAATAATAACCCCTGGATAATTCACACCTCATAGATAAGTGGAGCTTATGTTATGGGTACTAAACGACTGTTATAAATACTTTGATTTTTTGTAAATGTATACATATTATACATAGAAAACACCCAGACCGATGCAAGCAATCATAATTGTGAATACAAATGTTTGCACCGTGCAAGGAATCGTACCCGAGACCATCGGAAGCAAAGTGGTGTGCTAAACCACTAGACCAGCGAGGCCTCTAATTTGTAATAAACGTAATCTGGCTTCGATGAACTGAGTGTATCACGAGTGTGACATAACGTGATATCAATGGAGCTGTTTCTGTAACCTATATAGCCTACCACTTACCATGGGCAGTAAGATCGTTTGCCATTCGAATTACATATAAAAAAACATAAATTTGCTATTTTATATGTAATTCGAATGTTAATCACTGATAATGCAGTAGACAATACGGGTGAATAATATTTTATAAAACCAATATATAAATCTATATCTATGTCCGCATAGTTAATTGAGTAACGTAGGCTGAATTTTATATCCATAAACTTTGTAAATCTCTACAATAACTTCATTAGTACACTTTGAAGGTGCTATTCAATACTCGCCTTATCTTTAGATAGTACAAAATAAAGTCGCCTGCGCTATCTGTTCACTTAGATCTTTTAAACAGGTAGTTTAAAAGATTTTCATGCATTTTTAGCAGTAGAAAGAGTAATTCAAGAGGAAGGTTTATATGTATTATACATGTACACCCGTGCAAAACCGGGGCAGGTAGCTAGTTAATATTATAAATGGAAAATATGTCTGTCTATTGTATCATTCTCGACTATCAAGCTGTCTTTTTTTTTAATTGTATGAAGGTAAATTGTAACACGAAGACGGATAAATAATATATTCTATAAGAATTCCTATGGACAGCGCCGCAGGATGTAACTATCCATAAATGCAAGTAAAAATTAAGTGTATTATATTACGAAATCACCACTTTCCACGTCTCTTAAGTGACGCAATAAAACAAATGTGAGTGCACACAAGCTGAACAGCGGCTAAATGAAGTGCAAGCTATAAAATAAAAGTGGGAGTGACTCGCTTCATCAAACACGAGGGGCTATAAAAAAACAATAAAGTTATGCCGCAGCGAGGGAATTGATACTGTGTGTAATAAGCTTTATATTAATGAAAATATACCGAATATACACGTCACATTTATTTTATTATCGTAACGAGGTTCCTATATGATACAAAAATTGATACACACACACTCATAAAAAAATATTTTTTTATTGCACGTGCATGCGGCTTACTGATGGTAAGTGATTACCGCCCATGAGCACCCGGAACACCAGGAGAATTGCAAGTGCATTGTCAGCCTTTTAAGAAGGAATAAGCTCTTTTCTTATAGGTTTCAATATCGTATCGCTTGGAAATAACATTGCTGGTAGGTGACTCCACATATATTATTGTCTATTATGTACAGTACAGGTTTATTGAATTATATATTAATTACACGTAATGCGATAATGTTAATGATGAAATGAAACAAAGGAGGTAAAATGAATAGTTTCTGTTGGAATTATTCGATGAATATAACATTCATAGTACAACCACAGATAATATAATATTACATAGTACAACTGACCGCCGGCTATCTAATGTTACCGGCCAATACGAAATGAACTAAAATGCTGAATATTGCCCCGATTAATGGTTTGTTTCTGGTCAAAATGATTTGTGTATATTCTAAATATAATGGTAATATATATTCATAATATTCATCTGTAAATCAGTGGATATTTAGCACATATATACAAATAAATAAACTAAAGTGTCAATAATATTTTTTTTCGATTTAATTAACTTCATTACATTGTGTCGAAATTAATACAATTTTTTAAATATAATACATAACTTATTATCACAATTTAAGAACTTGTTCTCAAATGTCACTAGCCCATTATTATGGTTTATCAGTCGAGTGTAAACATCATGTCGTTTGTAATTTCAAATTAGTAGCTTTTCATTAAATGCATATATATGCAAATATATACTACCCTAATTTAAAAAATTTATTAAAAAAAAATGGACTGTTTGTCTGTTTGTTCTTACTAATCTCTGAAACTGCTGGATTTGACGGGATTTTCACTCGCATGTAGCTAATGTTATTAATACTTAGGCTATTTTGATTTTAAAAAATATTCATCTTAATATAATAGTGTTTAAGTTTATTTATTTATGCTTATAAAATGTATGTTTATCTATAAGTGTATAGTAAGTAGGTATAGGATTATAGTGCCTTTCCTCTTTATGTAAAAACTCTCTCTACCAGGTTGTCTGTAAGAAACTGTTCATAGCAATAAGACTGCCTTTTGTACAATACTTTTAATGTAAATTGATGTTCTCGGTATGTCTGTGCTCAATAAAGAGTTATTATTATTATTTCTGTGCCTTTAAAACGTAAATATAGAGTATTGTACATAAATCTATTATAAAAATATGTAATAATATCCAATAGGTTTCCTGTCGTTAGGATATGGGATTCTCTATCGGCTGCATCTAATGGGTTATAATTAAACACAAGCAGAGACTTTAATCCAAGATACAAGCTCATTAAATACCTACTCATACATCATTCGGCACAATGCCGTCACATGGCACTTCCGTGTAATTGCCTCGCAAATTAATCCCAGTAACATGTGACATTTGACCCGACAGTGTACACAGAGCCTATAACTACATTTCATACAAAACATTCCCGCACACCGTGCAACTATTGAGCAATTATTAGTTTTTAATTTGGCAACTTTTGTGTGTTGGTTCGCAATTGTTATCTCTAGTACGATTTACGTTAAGATTACTTCCGTTATCTCTAGTACCTAACTAGAGATAACGGAAGATCACAAAGATAATAAGTTTGTTGACAGGCTGGAATTATCCAAGACTAAGGACTGTGGTGGACAGTGAAGCAATATATAGCATACTTCTAGATACAGAATGTATTATATGGCTGGATAAAACAGTATTGATTGATAAAAAATGGAAAACACACTATCCTATTACTTAACGTTTGACTAATTAGCTATTATATTATAAACTTTGTGTGTTGTGTATATATTATAAATTAAAAACTGTCTTCAAGATTGAGTAAATAAGTAGATCTAAGTCTAATACTGATCCCCAATATTAATAGTAGATAAGTGAGATTACAATTATATATTAGAGCAAGTATATAAGAACATGTTTACAGTTAATGCCTGGGAACCAAGTGAAGTTTAATAGATATGAGCTACTTATAATGTTAATTGTTAGTTGTTATTTAATATAGATATTATAACGTAACAACTATTAACAAAGTAACAGATGGGAGTATAAATACTACGCTAATGATATTGAATTATTATTTATACAATTCCTACCATACATAAACTAACAGTATTTGAGCAATTACTGTTATTATTAAAATAATAAAAAATACAATATAATTATTTACAAACAAACTCTGAGCAACTTTTACAAGCAGCGTAATGTGTGAA